TTCCTATCAAAGGTGACTCCCTACTCAGAGCTCAATCTGAAATCTTTAGTTAGAAATGAAGAAATACTTATCATTTCATCACGTGATCGTAAAACATACATACAAATGCACGCGTGCTACATATATTATTATCAGTCATAAGCAATTACTTTAAAAGATTCATGAGCCTGCAACTTGTACTACAATAATAATATGGCCAATCTGCTTTATAATTAGTTGAAAAGTTCAAACATCATCAGGGTAACTAACTGTAATAAGTTTGTAACATATATTAGGAGACATTAAATAAGTACATCTAGATTTCCTTAAAGCTTGAGTTGAATAAGGTTGTGTTTGGTATGACAAAAGTTTTTTTAGTTTTTTTTTTAATAATCGTGGTATTTGAGCGCTATTTGTGTGCACTTTGATTAGTTTCAGGGGATATGTGTCACCTTCCACCATTAACAGGTATCAGGTAACATGGAAGTTGATGATTAATTTTCTTTAAAATGTTTGCTAAGCTCATATTTTAGCGTGTGGTTGATTATCAAATTAAAAATTATTTTTTTATATAGAAATTAGTTATTCAAGATTTAGTTATGTATATGTTTTAGTTATTCCATCTTTATCTTGCATAATATAATAAACATAAAATTTTCTTTTAACTTATACATGTACTCTCTAATCTCTATGTTTCAATTTGTTTGTAATATTTTGATTTGATATGGAGTTTAAAAAAGTAAAGAAGAATTTTGATATGGATTATAGTCTTACATTAAAGTTGTATCAAATGTACCAAAATGTCTTTAATCTTATAGTTGAAATTAATAAATTGCTAAAAAAAATAGAAGCATTATTTTTAAATGGATTAAAAAGGAAAGTAGGACTAATAAATTAAAACAAAGGTATTAGATATGCGGACGTCTAAACCGAACACCATATTAATTTTATACTAAGTAAAAGAGTACTGCCAAATGTTATGAGTATTACTTATGTAAAATGTAATACTCCTAACTAGCTACTAAAAAAGGACATGCATATTTTACTTCCTAACTAGCTACTAAACAATTACACCAATAATAATCAATATTCAAAAAAATAATCATAAAAACACTCTCCAATTTTCAATAGAATATCTAGTACCACGGGGACTGAAATATTTTTAAGCTCCCTATTGTGAGATGCGAACCTAGAATTAAAATTTTGATTTTATGTGCTCCTGGTTTGTCATTTTCATAATTTATTTAATTAATCCTTGTGTTCAAAGCATATTGTTTGTACTTACTCTCAATTTAATTTTTACATACCACGTTTCACTTTATAAGAATCAATTTAACTATTTTTCTTCATCGTGCCAAACACACTCTAATTACGATAAAACTTTTGAAGAGTTTAATCAAAATTTCAAACAACACATCAAGAGATTTCAAGTCTACTATATTATGCTCATATTTCTATGTGTGTTGTGTGAAATACAGATAACTTGCTATGTATATGATATGATACTATAATACATGTATAATTTATAAACTATAATATATAGTAATAAATGAACAGAAAGGAAACGTATAGTTGAATGAATGAAATTAAATGAACTTCCTTAAGGTCTTCTCCTAACATGTGCGAAGCCCGAGCTATGGCGACTGCATCTCCAACTTTTATTCATATTACTCCCTCCGTCCCTTTTTAGTTGTCCACTTTAGAAATGGCACACAGATTAAGGCAACAATAATTAGCACAGTGAAGTTACAATTTTACCCTTATGACAACTTTTCACTTCAAAATTACAACCACTTATTTGAATTAAAGTGAAATAAATTGGAGGGAAACAACATACACTTTTACAATTTTCAAGAAGTGTAAATAAGGGTATAATAGGAAAAAATTTGTTGTCTTTTCTTGATTTGTCAAAATGGACAACTAAATAGGGACAACTAAAAAAGGAAATATGGACAAGTAAATAGGGACGGAGGGAGTATTATATTATCCCCTCCTATACTTTTTCCCTGTCATGCTTACTAAAAATAGTTGGTCCAAAATAATTGCGATTTTAGAAAATTACAATAGATTTTAATTTTTAGCTAGTTTTCTTATTTATTTTCACTGAATAAATATGGGGAGTAATTAATCTATTGAAAAAGAAGAAATAACTTAGTCCAATTACCTTTTTAGTTAATATTTTTAGAAAAAGAAAAACATGACAAGTAAAATAAAGATATAAGTATTGAAAACACCCCTGAACTTGCGCAAATTATTAGTTTCATACCCAAACTATTGACAGCCTTAAAAACATCCCTCTACTTGACTAACTAAACTTAGATGCACCCTCGATCTGTCACATGACATAACAAATGGTCTCAAACTCTTATAGGAGCATGAAATCTTAATAAAAAGCCGAGAAAAAAGTTGAAAACACCTCTAAACTTGGTGAGAGTTTAGGAATGTGTTAATTTCACTCGCATATTGCAAGATTGAGTATTTTTAAATTTAGTTAGTCAAGTAAAAAATATAATTTAAGCTATCAATAGTTTAAAGATAAAACTAATAATTTATGTCAAGCTTATGGATATTTTCAATACTTCTCTCTAAAATAAATCGAAAGAAATACATGAAAAACCCTAAACCTAAACCTTGACCCGTGGATCCTACTTTTATTAAAAAAATATTAAACCCTGTTAATAATTCATAATTAAATATGGCGCGTCCAAATGAGTTTGCAATCCCGAGGAGGTTTTGTAGCTGTTTTTCTCTACAGTTTGCTTTAGAAACAATCAAACGTCCCGTTATTTATTTCATCGGGATCATTTACGTATTTATTTATTTGTGCAAAAGTGCATGGCAAGTCTCCAAAATTGAAATTGAACCCGGAATTCATGCACCATACAAGTGATAAAGTGGATGCAAATATTGAGATTTTTTTTATTTTTCTTTTAATATTGAGATTATTCAACGCTTAAATCGAAGGTCGGTTTTTCCTTTATTTTTTTGGATCAACTCTGTCCGTCGATTTTTGCATGGTTTGTAATAGTATAGAAATAACTTAATATTAAAATTACTTTTTTACCGTCAAAAATAATAATTTGTAGTCATATAAATAGTTAAGATTTGTATTAGATTACAAATTTCGTTCTTATATGTGCCTAATCAAACAATATCATATAATTTGGAAACAAAAATTAAAGTAATACACTTTCTCTGTTCAACAATACTTGTCAACTATTGACTTTGCACACTTCTTAAGAAACTATAAATAGAAGTGTAATTTTACTATATCAACCTTTTGAATATAATAAATACAATGTCTTGAAAAATGTAATAGAGAAATGACTATAATTATGAACTAAGTGTAAAATTATCCATTTATTTTATAAAGTAGACAATTATTGTTGGACATCCCAAAATATTATAATAGACATTGGACAACTATTGTTGGACAGAGTGAGTAATTGATCATTTGTCTAATTTTAGGTGAACAAAGTTGATATTCAGTGAAATGGTCGCTCAAACTAGTAGTCTACTAAATGGAATAGCTAGCTAATTACGTGCAATTAGTTGAAAATTAACCGGTATTCATGCATCCATATATATATATATTTAGGCTTTAGCTAGCTAGTACCCCATGAATATTTGCTATATTGCTTCTTATGCTCCTAATAACAGTCGCTAGAGCTAGCTGGCAAATTCCATACAAATGATTGAATTCTTTTAATGAAGGGATAAGAGACCTACGTACCCAGTCTACTTTAATGTATAGAGATTGTTGCGTAAATTCACGTTTTGCAACTTGATATAAGTGAAATAATTAAGGACTATCGACTTTTACACATGTATGCGCGTGCGCATAGACAAATTTAATTTGGGGGTTATATCCTAGCATGGATTTACTGTATAATGAGCGGGTGTAGTAATGAATGTATTGTTTTATTCTTGAAAGTTGAAACCTCAAGGTGAATTTTGAACTTTCTAAACAACTGACCCAACCTTTAGTCTTGAGTTCAAGGGATATATTCAAAATCCATGTATATACATACATAAAAAATAAATACCTTATATATAATGTGTAATTTTTTATTTAGGGGGTTCGAGTGAACACATGACAACCCCCTAGATCTGCCCCAAGCCGGTGGGCTTAAACAAATTCAATAGCTTTCGACTCAAACGTTATATATCATGTGTGTGTTTTCTTTCCAAAAACCACACTTATTAATTAATGGAAAAATTACTGAAATATACGTAATAATTCCCTTATTTCTTTAATGTATCCAAGCCAATATTTAATGTATCCGAGCTACATATTATGTATCCGGTTTATTTTATAATGTATCCGAGCTACATATCATGTATCCAAGCTAGGTTTTAATGTATCCGAGCTACATATTATGTATCTGGCTTATGTTATAATGTATCCGAGATACTCTTTAATGTATCTGAGCTACATATTATGTATCCGGTTTGTATTACTTTTTAAGGGATTAATGTAATTACAAACTAAAGAGGGATAGATTGTAATTTCATATTAAAACTATGTGATTCCTAAAATTTATCCTTAATTAATAGGTAAGTACTTTTTCTTTTTTCGTAATCGAAATATTTTTAAAGTCCAAGTAATCAACGAACCAAACTAGTACTAATTAAGAATCTCTCACAAACAATAAGTTAAGTATAAACACAAAGAATTCACTAAATTACATGACTAGAAAATTCCGAACCCATAAAATTAAAAAAAAAATTTCAATCCCCACATATGTTGTCCTATATTCTACATTCACTAACTTGCAATTTACTTAAGCTTTAAGAGTTTGCGCGGGCGGCGTTAACGGCCGTCAACTTTCCCTCCTCACATGAATTTCACAATACCTGATCGTTGACTTTATACTACAGTTGGAGAAAAAAAGCATATTATATATATAAATAAGGCCATTTCAATCAAAATTAAGAAAGCTCCAGCAAGTGAAATACACAAACACAAACTAAGAGATCGTGGGAATTAATCAAGAAGAAGATCGATCGAGTTTCAAAATATGGCATCATCATCAAATGGTGGTGTTCCACCGGGGTTTCGATTTCATCCAACAGAGGAAGAGCTTCTTCATTATTACTTGAAGAAGAAGCTTTCATTTCATAAGTTTGATATGGAGGTTATCAGAGAGATTGACTTGAATAAGATTGAGCCATGGGAATTACAAGGTACGCACATATTATTATTAGCTACGAATTTAGTCGTTGCTGAATAACTTGTAGCTAATAGAATTATTCAATAATTCATTGCTAATCTATTTATATTGATGTTAATTATTAGCTACATAATTTATTATCCGTCTCTAAAGTAAATTTTTAATTAGTTATTGTTCAAAAGTGATTTTAAAAAATTGATTAGTTTAACACAAAAACAAATTATTTATCATTTGATAGTTTATATTCTTGGATAATTAACTAAAACGAGATTAAAATAAAAATATATAATCTCTCTTATTTAAAAGCTTTAAGTACTTATAAGCAAATTATATTTTTATTTATTTAATTAAGGGAAAAATGATAAATATACCCCGAACTATCGTAACTGGTATGCAAATATCCTTTGTCATACTTTTGGGACATTGGATGCCCCTACTGTCAAAAAACTAGAGCACATATACCCTTTATACTAACAGACATACGTGTGTTATAATCTTATCCACCAACTCGACATAATATCGAATCGACGGATAAGATAGCACCATGTGTCCTTATTTAGTCTTCTGTTGGAGTGAAGAGCATATATGCTCTAGTTTTTGGACGGCATGAACAACAATGTCCCAAAAGTATGACAGATGGTATCTGTATATCATTTACGATAGTTCTGGGGTATATTTACCCTTTTTCTCTTTAATTAATTATATTTTCAACATGACTAGTGTGAATCGATATGAGACATGAATTTAAGTAGTAACTAGAGAAATGATTTGGTTATTTATGTGTTAATATTTGATGATAATTATTCAGAGAGGTGCAATATTGGATCGACGCCGCAGAATGAGTGGTACTTTTTCAGCCATAAGGATAGGAAGTATCCAACAGGTTCAAGGACAAACCGGGCAACAAATGCGGGGTTTTGGAAGGCGACAGGGAGGGACAAGTGCATAAGGAACAGCTTCAAGAAAATTGGTATGAGGAAAACCCTTGTGTTTTATCGAGGAAGAGCTCCACATGGACAAAAAACTGATTGGATTATGCATGAGTACAGACTTGAAGATGCTGACCAAAATCAAACTGTAAGTTCCTCCCATGCCTTATTAGAAAACATGAAATTAACTAGAAAATTTATCGGTAATTTCTAACTAATTTGTGATTAAATAACTCATAGTTAAATGAATTTTCTTATAATCAGTACCCAAATAAGATTAACATGAAAAATTTTAACTATTTAGCTATGAAACTTTGTCCATCCCTACTTCCTTATTTTCTGGTTGTGATATATATATATATATATGCATCTCTCTCTTCTCCACTTTCCCCTAAAATGGCCTCTCATCATTAAGGGGAAACAAAAAGAAAAGGAGTTTCCTTTATTAATTTAAAGAAAAAAAAATTAAGGTTACCAAAACAAGCATGCATACGTGGCAGATTATTATTATTATTATTATAAGTATAAAAGAAAAGGCTTAATACATGATCAACCTAGCTCATAAATTTATCTAGATATTTCATTGAGACACTAAAATTAAGACATATATATCTCCAGTTTTAATTAGATAATTCTATTGAAATTTTGAAGTAACTTTTTTTTTTTGGTGTGTTTTTATTCATCTTTTAGGTAGTTAAGTTAAACCATATAAGTTATTTCTTTTATTTATACATATCAGCCTCAATTAGCTATAAACATGGATATATATATTTAAACTAAATTAAATCATGCACAATATTTTTTTAAAATTCGAATCGACGATGTCTAATTAGAATATTTTATTAAGAATTAAAGTGTTTAATTAGAATATGATTTAATTCAAATATCAGAATGAAATATTCTAACAAATTTATGCAGCTCGACTCTCTATATATATATATTAAGTCTAAAGAAAAACCAGTTGGTTGAAGTCTTACACGTCAATTGCATATATATATATATATATATATATATATATATATATATGTAAGCATGTATGGAAGCTAGTCAAAGTAATCAAATGATCCTTATAATAATGATTAATTAATTAGTGAATAATTTCCCCAGGATTGACTTTCTTGCCACAAAATCTTTGACTGTCAGGAATTCCCTGCTTGCATGCATGCTTCAAGGAATTTGTTATCCATAGTAATAATCTCAGTTCAGCTGAATTCTTGAAATGGTACAAGAGGCTAATAAATAAAAAAACTTATATAGTAGGACAATTTTAATACAAGTAATTGAACATCCCATTCTAAAAGATCTGATTTCTTTTCATATATGGACCAAATTTCTTTTTTAAAATGATGGTAGTGGTGGAATTCAAATCCAATATTTATATATGTTCTATTCTAATTATAGAAGTGTGTGTGATCATATATATTGCCATTTAAAAATTTAAATTATCAGAAATATCTTATTTTTAGTTGCTTAATTTTATTATGTCTCAGCAAGAATATCATTCTAAGAAATTTTATATACATGTCCCATCATATGCAACCTGGTCTTTTAATTTTTCATAAGCCAAATTAATTACTAGAAAATAAATAATTAGCGACGAACAAAATTTTATATCTAAACAAAAAATTCCATATTAATCTCATTTAGCTAGGGATTAGTGACAGAGTATAAGAAAATTCAATTACCTATGAGCTCTTTAGTTACGAATTAGCTAAAAATTACCGATAAATTCCGTTACTAATTCCATATTTTCTTATAGTAATTGTTATATATATCGTTGATTATGTTTTTAACAATATTATGTACTTTTCAAATGTGTGTAGGAGGATGGCTGGGTGATATGTAGGGTATTCAAGAAGAAAAACCTCTTCAAAATAACTGGAAATGAGGCAGCCTCATCAAGCCATCACCACCACCAACCAACCAACAACTTCACACACAAAGACAATCATGATCATAGTCCTTATCTACTACACCAATTACCACAACACCATGACCAACATGACTTAAACTATTCCCAAATCCCAATTGCTACTACTCTGGCTCCACATGAGTACTATTCACACAACAACAACAACATTGAAGTAGCACAAAACTTGATCAAGTCAACATCACTGGGATATCATCATCATCATCATCATCATCCTCATGAATTCTCATCGTCAGGCGCTGATCAATCAGCGCCTTGTGAGTCTGGCTTAGAAGTAGCAAGCAGTAATGATCATCAATGGGGAATTAATATTGATTCATCTAAAGTTTCATTAGGGATGGGATTTGAATCTAATCAAATCAATCATCAACTTCCTATGCGTGGAGAAATGGACTTTTGGAGCTATGGAAAATAATACACATGACACAACTATTAGTAATTCTTTGTAATAATATATATATATTGACATTGAAAAGACATATATATATATCACTTTTATTAATTATACTTAGCTTGTTATTGTACCTGTACTATATATTATATTGGATGTATTCGGGGGGAAAATGTATGATTGATTGTATGTCCTCCTTATTTTATGTTAGTGATTTCTATATTGGAATGTAAATTTTCTTTAAAATCATCAATTTTATGATTTGAGAAATCAAACTAAATATTCAATCTATTGGTCTCTCACTACATCAAAAATGATTTATATATATAGTAGTAATTAATTAAAGACAATAGTTTAATTAATATGTTTTTTTTAATTTATCCGTCAAAAATATGTTCATCAAATTATAATCCGTCCAAATTCGTTTCAGTTTGAGTTGATTATTGATCTGTTTATTTATAAATTAGCTCAATTCATAAATTCATTATTTTTATTAATTCATTTTTTTATATAATCATAATAAAGAAAAATAATAATTTTATAGAGTACTAAAAATAATAAAAGAAAAAAAATAATTAAAACCTAGTTCATAAATATTAATTAATCTTATTATGTGACAAAAATTCACAGGGAATTGAATTCAACAACTTACCTAAAATAACAGCTCCTGTTACCTAAAATAACCTAGTTCATTTGTTTTTTTTTTTTCTGCAGTTAACGGAAAAAACAAGTATCTTCAAAGATATTTTTAATCTTCTATAATTCAATATTACTAATTTGTTAAATCAAGTTAATTATAGGAGAAATGGCGCTTCAAAAAGTGGGGCACGTGGTCCTATAAAAATTAGAAATTGAAAATAATTAAATAAGGAAATAAAGTAACTTGAGAAGTAGTAATTAAGTAAGTTTAGTTTGTTCAATTACGGTTATAGTAGTAATTTAGGAAATAAAGTAATTTGAGTTTGTTAAGTAATTTGAGTTTTTTCCATTAGGGTTATAAGATGTGTATAAATAGATAACTATCTTTGAGTAGACTTCATAATTCACATAATAAATTAGAATCAATGTCGAAGCCAATGGGAATACGTTTTCATCCTACTGATACGGAGCTAATCAACTATCTTAAGAAGTTTTTCAGAGGCGAATTATCTTTGAATCAACAATGTCCTATCCAGTTTGCGGATATATATGGAGATCAACCACCATGGGAGATATTTGGAGCTAATTCTGAAGAGAAGTTTCGTTACTTTATTACTCCTTTGAAGAAGCGGAAGACTGAATATAAAAGGTTTTCTCGAATTTCTACTAAAGGGACATGGAAAGGGCAAACCGGGGAACATCTTATAAGGAGGAATCGTACGGCGCCTGTGGTAGGATTTAAGAGAAATTTCAAGTTTGAAACAAGTGAGTGTGGCCAAGATAAAACCTGGTTGATGGTAGAATATCATGTCGCGGATAGTTTCTTTAAGGAAAATAATCATATTCTTAAAGAAGATTTTGTAGTGTGTCGAATAAAGAAGAAGATGAATAAAGAGAAGAACGCGGATCATGTTATGGAGGAACAAGATGGAGATGTTGCGGGAATTATTGATCCTATGTTGCTTGAACCTAATCATAATAACGACTACTCCACAACGGAAGATCAAGTTAGGGTTTGTGATGAACAAGAGGCTACAACTTCCTCTTTGCATGGAGATCAAAACAGTACTACAATGGAGAAGAGAGAGACAACGTTGGAAGTAGAAGAAGGCCACGGAGTTGATGATATTAGAAGCAACAAATTTCAGGAAGAGATGTATAGAACATTTGAGGACATTCCTGACGATTGGTTGCAGAATTCACACGTTCTACAAGATATATAATACACATCAAAATATTTATATACTTATAATTAGTTCATTAAATGGATTATGCAGTTAAAAAGAATTATTGTATATATAGTTCAATTTACAATTTTTCAATTATTTTTCTTACGGAGTACTTTTTAGGTGTTAACTGTTGCATCTAATCATACAATTTTGAATCACATGTACTGCTCAGCCTTTACAGATCGAGGCTTTGATCACATTGTTTGGTTATCTGATATAGAGTCGCAGCTGTAGTTTAGCATGGTAGTTTTATTACTTGCTTGCAGATAAAAATAATGTCATTGTTTGCACATTATTTTTACATGCATGAATATAAAATTCTTGCATAACTTAAACAAATCAGTGTAGTGTGTTAAACGTGAACTTCCTAACATTGTAAATGTATATATAGTTAAGAGTTCCTAAAAGGATGATCACTGGTGGTTTCATTAACTAGGACGACAAAATTCGCTCATAAACTTATAATTCGTCCCATTTATTTAAGTTTGAGTTGATTATTGATCTGTTTATTTATTAATTAACTCAATTCATAAATTCATATTTTAATTTGATATGCTATATATAATCATAATTCAAAAAAATATTTTTTATAAGGTACTAACAATACTAATAGAATTAAAAAAATCATTAAAACCTAGTAATAAAAGTTGGACGGTTATTTTGTAATTATATTGCAACATATCCAGATCTAGCATTAACATAATTAATTAATGTTATTTATATACCTTCTTAAAAGTTTAATTATAAATATTGATTAGAGACCATGCCATGCCACGAACACAACCTTGTGCCTATAATGAGTATTATATATTTATTAGCAAACAATTGAAAAAGGATTAAGTAATTAAGCGGTTGAATTTCTTTTTATATTATCAATAAATCAAATTATGATAGCAGATAAGATATCAATTTTGTCAAATTACTCATTAAAGTTCAAGTTATCTAATTATTTAAATATTTTTTAAACCGTCACTACAGAGAATTAAACTCACTAAAAAAGAAATAGCTTCGAGAATTGAAAATGGAAAGAGCTGGCAAGACATCAATGACACAGTCTTGACGAATTTTTGACCAAAATAAGCTACTATTTAAATCAATTTACAGAAATAATACATTTTTTTGAAACTTTACAAAACTAGTATAAACGTTGTTGGCAGTAACGTATTAGTCCATATTTTATTCAAAAGAATAAACGGACAAAAGTTAATGAGGGACGACGTTAAGTAGGAAAACGTTACTACGGGTAACGTTTTATATTTATTTATACATTTAATTCTAATTTTTCCCTAAACCCAATTTTGATCCTTATACGATTTAACCTACTCTAAACCCAATTTCAGTTCTACTTTGAAATTTCACCCCTCCCCTAACCTCAATCTCATCTAGTGCTGCGAACACCGTTCAGTTCCCGATTCTTGCCGCTAGTGTGGCCGGAAGAAGGAGATTCAGCGCCATAACTATTTCAATGTAATTTTCTTTGTTCAAGGTTTGATTTTTCTTTACGAAGTAAGGCTTGACAAATCCATAGAAGAATTCTATCTTTTGTAAATTGAGGGAAAAGTCATGAAATTGAATTTCAATATAGGATTCTATTTTGTTATAGATTTTGATTTGATTTTAATTTTTTTGGACTATTTTTCGACACTCCTTTCATGGCCAGTGAACTTGAACTCTCTCTGATTTTCTGATTTGCCTTCGTAGCAACTTTCACATCCCAACTATCGTTGATTTGAATAACGGAAGCTCTGATGAGCAAAAGTATCAACTGCATAAAGAAAATCGCTTTGATTGTAAGGGCAGGCATTGCTCCTGCCAGATACTATCTTATATAAACTTCCAGGTTTTCTCTTTTTCTAATATGAAGAAGATACAATCTTTGATAATGCCAAATAATTTTTTAGATCTTTCAAGACACTTTTTTGGGATCATTTTCACTTGGTATCAAAACCTTGTTAATTAGAGCCATAGTAATAGCATGTTGCCTATCCAAGTTCCTAATTCGCTTTGTCTAATTCATGCTTCTCTTTTTTAGATGAATGTCAAGAAAAAATCACATAACAATATTTGAGCTAACATTTAAGTTTACTTTCATATGTATCTCATAGGTATTTTCTTTTATGGCGGATAATAGTGAATACAAGTTGGATCCCGATCCACTTGAATTGGATGTATTAACGGGATAGCTCACTCATAGATCACAGGATATATGGGAAGGAAGTTCTAATATGATTCTTAATACGAGGAGAGAAGATGGAAATTTTTGGAAGCTCGTAGAAAAATATCATATCCATCCACGAGTTCTTAAAGTGATTAGAATATGTGGATTGTATGGTGTTTACAGAGCTAATCGGTTTGCTATCGACCGTAGTTTGATCACTGCATTAGTTGAGCGATGGCATCTCGAAACTCATACTTTTCACTTTAGGACAAGTAAAGCAACAGTCACCTTACAGGACTTAGAGGTGTTGTATGGATTACCTGTAAATGGTGATCCAGTACTTGGTAATGAGACGATAAAGACCATAGGGAATTGGCAAAACATTTGTCAAAGATTATTAGGTTTCATTCCATCTCGTGAAGACTTCAAAGCAAATTTCCTCAAGGTCGCTGCATTTAATGCATACATGCTAAGCCAACCAGAGTTGCTGAACACGGCAACACAAGATATGATCAATCAGAAGGCCATATGTTACATATTCTGGATGATTGTGGGTATGTTGATGGCGGATACATCTGGTGGTTATTTGAAGCTTATGTACTTCCCTATGCTTGAGGACATCGATAAAATTGGGTCTTATAGTTGGGGGAGTGTGACCTTATAGCTTACTTATATCATTTTCTTTGTAAAGCCTCACAAACTACCCAAAATGAAATAGCCAGATTTCTACCACTACTTCAGGTATACCTAAAAATTGTACAAATGATTTATTTGTATTTCTTATAATTTACTAGTTTGTTTGGTTTATTTTCTTGTTGTTAGAACGTATAAGAAGTGATTTGGCGAAGAAATGGTAGCATTTGATTGAATTGATATCTTGTTTTGTGCAGAATTGTGAGATTGATTGGATCAATGTGTGAACTGTACAATCTTGGATGACCTAATCTGTAATGCAAATATGCAATTAATAAATTTGAGTGAAAAGAAATGTTTGAAACGTTCGAGATCATTTTCAAGTGAGACATACAGAATCATGAACTTGGTCATGAATATTTGAACAACTTGAAAAATATAAATGATGCCATACAAATTAAAATGAAGCAAAATACATAATTAGAGTTATTTGAAAGTAAAAATACATATTTAGACTATCCACTTAAGTTTGATTTCGAGTTGGATATCTACGCCTATCATGCCCGGTCTGTCTACACAATCCACAAGTCTGCCCATATACTGCAGGATCATGATCCATCTTATTAGGAATTCTAGTAGTCCTTGATCGATTGGGACGACGATAGAATTCATTACTTCTCATCATAAAACTTGGCGATGGCCAATATGTCTCGTGCCCAATCGGTGAGAATAATTGTAATGACCCTCATGGTCATTTCTGTGTCTTGTCTTCTGTGTGTCGTTTAGAGCGTTCCTATAGCGACCCCAAGTCATTTAAGACTTGTTGGGAGTGACAGTTCGGTCACCTGGTCGTTCGTTTGGTCTTGGTGCAAGTTTTTGTGTTTTGGAGCTTATGAACCTTGAACGATCATTTTCGATCAAAAGTTCAAGAAGATGACATCGGAATCCAATTCTGACGATTCCATCAGCTCCGAAAGGGTCATTTTAGGCTAATAGCATGGTCGTCATGACTCCCAAGGTTTTCAGTGTGAGTCGATGCGATTAGGCGTTTTAACTTTAAGTTTAAGCCTAAATTTGACTTTGGTCAACGTTCTGAGTAAACGCACTCAGATGAGAATTCCATCAGCGTGGTTAGCTTCGGAATGTCGAGTTTGGTCTAGATTGACCCTTATTTTGTGTCTGGAGGTTTTCGATATCTTTCCGAGCCCTTTTGTGGGTTTTGACTTCAAATGGCTTTTGGAAGTGGGACCCACTTTTTATCGAAATGACCTCTGATGGAAATTTCGACTGCGCCGTTGAGTCTGGAATGTCAAATTTGGTATGGTTGCATATCTCGTTTGCGTGCACGGAGTTCCGAACGAGATCGGAGTACCCCGTCGGAGTTTTTAGTTGTTGGAAAAATTGCAGAAATCTGCAATATAATGCAGATTTTCAGCAATATTTCCCAAAACTTTAACCCTCATAGCTTTCTCATCTCTCAACCGATTTGGACGATTCAAAAGGCAAAGTTGTGAGATTTTTCGAGGACAACGTGTTGGTGAGCTCGGATAGTGATTTGGAGTCCTCGTTCGAGGTAATTTCGCGATAAAACCTGACTGCAATACCTTTTTCGAGCCTTTATTTTTGGTATTATTGTTTTGGTCATATCTCACTCATTTTACCTCGGTTTTGGGTGATTCGAAGTCTCACGTGTTGAGAATTGTCGTGGCTTCATCGTAGAGTGTTCAAAGAGTGTTGGACACCATTAGATTCTTGTAGATCTTGAGTTTAGGCTGTTGTTGATTTCTTTTTTTTAGTTGATTAAAATGGGATTTTCTTGCTTGTTGGTTTTGCTGTGTTTTGAGCCCCGAATTATGTTTCATTTTGGAACACAAGTTTAGGGTGATGTTTAGTGTGTCTTGACGGAGTCAAATTTGGACAGTTCGGTGCGGGTCCCACGATTCTCGTTTTGACACCAAAATTGACCCGTCTTCGTTTGTTGTGATTTTGGTGTCTAAACGACTGTATTAACGGTGTGACTCTATTTTTGATAGCGGGGCAGCGTTTCGAGGACGTTCGGATAGGGAAAGCTCTGGAGAAGTGATTTTGGAGCGCGTGTGATTGGCCTATAAGTAGGCTACGGTTTTCCTCTCTTAGATTGAGCTCGAGAATGTGAATGCATATTGATTAATTGGGATTTGGGTTGGGTAGTTATTGAATCCTACATAGGTGTTAAGAAATCATGTTTTCGGCCTATTTCGGGAATTATCGGGTAACTGTGAGCATGCTTTGTGTTATTAACGGACCCTCCTTGCTATGTGGAGTGCTTGCATGCTTAATTATTGTTTATTTGAAGAATGTAGGGCCTTAGTTTAGGTTTGACTAGGGCTTGTCTTAGAAATACATTATTCGAATCCAATAGGCCTTAGTTTTACCCCGACGTCACTCGGCCGGCTTAGATCCCTGTAGACTAGTGTAGCAGACTTGAGTCTGATAGTTTGGGCCTTAGTTAGGCGATACTCTTTCTCCGACTATAGTTATCCTTATTTTCCCCGATGTTACGGCTTCACGAGTTACATTGGCGACACTAGTTCTACTTCGCGGTTTGAATTTGATTTTCAATTTGGTTCCAAGGACTTACATTGATTGGCTAAGTATGGACGGCGTCCACGGACATTTATGAGTGTGGATCGATTAGGACTCTTTCAGCAGTTACATTGACACCTTTATAGAGCATCCGGTTTAAGTTCCGGCCTGTATTGCCCAGATACTTATATAGAGCATCCGGTTAGAGTTCCGGCCTCTATTGCCTAGATACTTATATAGAGCATCCGGTTAGAGTTCCGGCCTCATATACTTGATATTTGTGATTGGTTACTTGGGTACTTCTGGTGAGCATCCGGTTAGAGGTCCGGCCTCCGTACTGTCATATTTTACTAATTAGGGTTGAGGTTCTGATTCGTGTTCTCCGTTCTTGGGTTCTTATATGCAATTCTCTTTAGTTTTAGTTATTCTGTGTACTCGTCGGGCTTATGGGGGTCCGTTCGAGTTTTTATTTAACTTGCGCACGAGTGTACCTTCTGGGCTTATGGGGGCCCAGTTAGGTGTAGTTAGTTTATAGATTACTTTAGTTAGTTCTTTGTACACTCGTGTGCATTCCCTTGTTAGTTAGATTTTAGTTCTTGACTTCGATTTGTGTTATTCCTTCTTTTCATATTGCCTTTACTTTTCAAGTTCAGTCGGCCTATGATGCCTACTGGGTACCGGTTGTTTTGGTACTCATGGTACGCTCTGCATCTATTTCATGATGCAGGTCCGGGCACTAGTAGCCAGCGTTGATTGAGCTTGGAGTAGACTGATCCGGAGATGGGAGTGAGCACACGACGTTTTGTACTATTTCAGTCTCCATCTATATATATAGACTTGTCTTTTACCTTTCGAGACAGTTTAGTCTCTGTTGTCCACTTTTGGGACTTGTACTCATTTTGTTAGTAGCTCTGTACTAGTGACTTCTAGGTTCTGGGAGAGATCTTATTTGTATATGTGTTTTTGGTTTGCTTCCGCCTGTTTATATTGTTATTTGCCTACTCTTGTTTAGTTTCTACCCTCAGACCCATTACTTGTTGTTCCGGGTTACGGGGTGGCTTACCTACTGGTGGGTTATAGTGCCATCATGACTTGAGAAATCGGGTCGTGACAATTACCCAGAATATGTTGCAACATAATTCTCTATTGTGAAATGCTCGCTTACAAAATTTCTAGTTAGTGCTCCCATTCTTTTAGTAACCTTCATGACATGTGAACATGGAAAGTGCAAATTTGCCCATTTTTCGCAATCACATTTTTTTTCACTTAGTGAAACACAATGAGGATTACCACTAGTACCATCAATCTATATAGATCTAACCTCATATATACCCCTGTGGATATATTTCAATCATAAACAAAGTGTCTTTTTGAACTTTCATAGTTCTTTTCCCACTTCATTTTGAAACTGCTTGTCCACAATTCCTTTTGCTCAACAAATTGGTGAGTTGTTTGACATCTACGAGTAGATTGTTCAATGATTTGCTCTAATGAAAGTCTAACCATGGTAGTGACTTTTCAACCTCGAAGAAACCATGGAAAACCCAATGAATCATAAAACCTGCATCTCACAGTCCATAAGCTCTTACTTGATATTACAACATTGAATTCTTTATTTTTGAGCAAACTCTAAATTATCACAACCCGTTTCAACTTAGCTTTGCTGCTAAAACACATATCTTTTTCTAAATCTTTTTTTGCATCCTCGGACCAAACAGAACAACATTTCATTTCGGATTCACGAGTAGAGATAAAAATATATTTCCCATTCTCCAATGTTGTAAAATAAGGTATATCATTATTTTGCATTTCAGATACATCCTGATCAAATTGATTTTGAAGATCTACCGCACTATTATTTTTAGGTAAATCTCCAATATATTCATCAGATTCACTTTCAATGGTTTTACTCTCTCCATCATCTTCTGAAGGTTCATCCTCCTCCGAATTTTCATAACTTCTTTGAGCATGTGCATCATTACACAAATCAAAGGTAACTTCATCTTCTCTGTAGAAAAAAATAAGTTAATTTCATGAAATACATAAAATGAAAATATATATTATTCATGCTACTAAATAGAATTACTATTTTTTATATGAAAAGATTACTCTATCAGATTTCATATTGATTGTGGCTACTCTCAATATGTCTTTGACTACTCAAGCATTCAGCAAATGATTGATTTTCATGTTCATTAAGGCCTACACCAAATGATTGATGGATACCATGTGTTGCACTGTATGCATAATGAGGCTGACTGATTGTGGCAAATTCATAATTTTGAGCTAATAAATTCATATGATAACCATGTTGATCATTCATTCGAAATAGATTATCTTTATTTATTGGTCTAATCTTTATATACATCTCCAAAAGATTTATATCAATCTTGTTCAAAAAGTTTCTGAGGAATGACAAAAAATTGTAGCAAAGATTGGTCATTCTCAATTTTGAACTCAATAAAT